GCCCCAACCCAGCCGCTCCTGCCCCCAAACATTCTCTTTGTTTTCATTACTTATATTACTATTTTAGCACTCTTATGTGATTTGATTGCTATTTTTGCCTTACCGTGGCTTCTTTCGTCTAATTAGGTGTTGCTTTTATTACTGAACTCTTTTATTGTTATTTGTATTGCTGCTCTTCTCTTCCTTAGCGGTGGTTTGCAACTACTTTTTGTGTTAGTAGTCTCGTCTCTGCTTTGCTTTTGGTGCTGGTGTGTAGGTGTAGTGGCGAGGGTTAGCAATGTAGCTCTAAGGTCATATCCCGGGGTTGGGGCGGGTGTGGGAGGTTCTCAGGGGGGTAAGGTAGTGTCCCATGTGCGTTTCGGCTCATGGAACATAGGGACCCTCACGGGTAAGTCAATTGAGTTGGTGCAAGTTCTCAAGAGGAGAAGGATTCAGGTGGCGTGCGTACAGGAAACCAGGTGGGTGGGCACTAAGGCACGAGAGGTTGATGGTTTCAAACTGTGGTACTCAGGTTCAGCTAGGGGAAGGAATGGAGTCGGCATTCTAGTGGCACCGGAGCTGCGGGAGTTTGTGGTGGAGGTGAAGAGGATTAGTGATCGTCTGATGTTTATCAAGTTGGTTTTTGGTGGGTGTACGATCAATGTCGTGAGTGCTTACGCCCCGCATGTTGGCCTGGCAGATGAAGTAAAGAGGGAGTTTTGGGACGCCTTGGATGGGGTGGTTATTGGTTTTCCACTGACTGAGAAAGTCGTCATTGGAGGCGACTTCAATGGCCATATTGGAGAATCAGCCGATGGCTTCGAGGACGTGCACGGTGGTTTTGGATTTGGCAGCAGGAACCCAGCGGGAGTTTCACTCTTGGAGTTTGCTAGAGCGAGTGATATGGTGGTTGCTAACTCTTGTTTCCCTAAACGAGACGACCATTTGGCTACCTTTGTAAGTGGAGTGGGGACGACACAGATCGACTATCTTCTTTTGCGCAGGTGTGATCGGGTGCTCTGCAAGGATGCTAAAGTAATTCCGAGGGAAAACGTCACTACCCAACACAAGCTTCTCGTGATGGATGTTATGATCAGGTGGGAGAAACATAGGAGAGCTTCGAGTGGCAACACACAAATCCGGTGGAGGAGACTCAGTGCGGAGAATATTGCTGAGTTGACCAAGCGAGTGCATGAGAAAGGTGCGTGGGAATCGACCGGAGATGCTACTGATATGTGGGTGCGGACTGCTAACTGCATCAGGGAAACAGCCAGGGAAGTGTTGGGTGTGAACTCTGGCTCTAAGAGTAGGCATCAGGGTGATTGGTGGTGGAGCGATTCAGTCCGAAGCAAGGTGGAAGCTAAGAAGGTGGCGTATTTGAGGTACATGGGCTGCAATGTTGAGGAGGAAAGAGCGGCGTTACGAGTGGAGTACAAGAAAGCACGTAAAGAAGCTAAGTTAGAGGTAACGAGGGCAAAGAATGCCGCTTTTGAACGCCTATACAAGGATATTGAGGAAAAAGGCAGTGTAAATCCACTGTTCCGGCTTGCTAAGGTGCGTGAGAGGAAGGCCCGAGATCTGGATCACGTGAGATGCGTGAAGGCAGCGATGGTAGAGTGTTAATTGAGACTGCCAAGGTGGCTAAGCGCTGGGGGGGAGTACTTTAGTGAACTCTTAAATGCGGGAGGAGACCAGAGGCTAGTTCTTGATGAGTTGGGACAACCTGGGGCGTCTCGTGTGTATTGCCGGCGCATTTGCTTGGAGGAGGTGGTTCGGGCTCTCCGCGGGATGCGTAGTGGGAGAGCTTTGGGACCAGATGAGATTCCAGTGGAATTTTGGAAGCACGCGGGTCGTGGTGCGTGGGTTTGGTTAACCAAACTCTTCAATGTTATCCTCCGGACAGCAAGGATGCCTGATGAGTGGAGAGAGAGTCTCTTGGTCCCTCTGTTTAAAGGGAAAGGTGACATTCAGAGCTGCGAGAATTACAGAGGCATCAAACTGCTAAGCCACACCATGAAAGTTTGGGAGCGTATCATTGAGTATAGGGTGCGGAAAGGGGTTTGCATCTCTGAGAACCAGTTTGGTTTCATGCCTGGCAGATCGACTACAGAGGCCATTCATCTCGTGAGGAGGTTAATGGAAGAATATAGGGCTAGGAAGAAGGACCTTCATATGGTGTTTATTGACCTCGAGAAGGCGTATGATAGGGTGCCAAGGGAGGTCTTATGGAGGTGCCTTGAGGCGAGAGGAGTTCCCATCATGTACACTCGCGCGATCAAGGATATGTACGAGGGGGCTATGACCAAGGTAAGGACTTCCGGGGGCAACTCAGATTCCTTCTCGGTAGGAATGGGGTTGCACCAGGGGTCTGCCCTTAGCCCTTTTTTGTTCGCCTTGGTGATGGACGTCCTAACTCAAGGTGTTCAAGACGGGGTCCCATGGTGCATGCTTTTCGCGGATGATATTGTGCTTATCGACGACACACGTGAGGG